TTAGAGACTAACTGGTTGGTAAAGTTGTAGAATTTGGTGTAATCGTATTTCACGCCATTTGTGACGTCTTTCACGATATCTTCTTGTGCTGCGGAGTGGGTGGTGAGGAGGAGGACGCTGAAGCATGACACCAGCCACCAGTGTGGCAATGTGGAGGCGATGGTATTCCTCATTATTGTTTATTTGGATCTTCTGAATCCTTAAACGAAGGGTTATGTTCGGGGTGATTCCCCGAGAAAACCTCCACCAAACAGACGAAAAAAGCCAAAAAAATGGTGAAAATCTAGGAGGTCTGAAGGTAATGGTGATATTCGGTGGATTTTATAGGCGGAAATTTATTATTCCAAGAATGACGATTGGCTATTCATGAAATCGCGATGGTTCAGAGGAGCCAATTAAACGCGATTTCGATGGAGAGTGTGAGGGCAGGGATAGATCTCATGTGGATATCTGGCGGGAATTTCTGAACCTTTTTCCTCTTTCCTCTTTTTATGGATGAAAGAGAAATTATATTCTGTGAATAATATCAAGAAGGGCAGCTTTTAAGGTTATTGTGCAAAAGTTCATGTTTTTTATTTCTTGACATTTTCACCCCTATATTCATATTGTATTGCAAAAGTTCATGTTTTTTATTTCTTGACATTTTTACCCCTATTTTCATATTGCATTGCAGAAAAATGTCTTTTTCATTCAATTTCTCAATAATAAAATGTAAAATAATAAATATATCCTGCTATTTAAATAAAACAAATAAAAAAAATTAAAGAACAAATTGTAATTATACTTCCAAACTTTTTAAAAAACTATAAATATTCATCCAAATACATTATTAAAAAGATAATTAGCACGAAACGTCCATGCCTTTCAATATTATTATTCAAAACGTCCATACCTTTTATTTATTTATTTTGAATTTTCACATTTCATTGCGAAAATGGATATTTAGTACAAAAAGTATTTACATTTTCAATGTTATTGTGCAAAATATTTTTACTTTTCATTTTTTAACATTTTCACCTCTATTTTCACTTTTTATTGCAGAAATGGTCATTTTTATCTAATTTCACAATAAAAAATTATAAAATGACAAACATACCATCCTATTTAAATAAAAAAAAAGAAAAATTAAGAACAAATTGCAATTATATTTTTGAAAAACTGTAAACGAATCCGAATAAATTTTTAAAAGGGTAATTAACACAAAATGTTCATACCTTTCAACTTATATTACAAAACATCTCTACTTTTTTTTTTTGAATTTTCACATTTATTTTCACATTTCATTGTGAAAATGGATAAGTAGCGCAAAAAGTCATTGCCTTTCTTTTTTTACATTTTCACATCTATTTTCACCTTTTATTACTAAAAAATTGTCATTTTCATCAAATTTTTCAATAAAAAAAAATTAAAATGACAAAAATAGCCTCCTATTTAAATAAAACAAAATTAAAAATAAAAATTGAAGAACAAATTGCAATTATACTCTCAATTTAAAAAAAATGCAAATGAATCTAAATAAATTACTAAAAGAGTAATTAGCACAACACGTCACTTCATTTCAATATTATTGTGCAAAATATCCATACCTTTCATTTTTTGACATTTTCATTCTTATTTTCCCATTATCTTGTTGAAAACATCATTTTTATCAATTTTCTTAATTAAAAGCTATAAAATGATGGATATACTACTTTATTTAAATAAAAGAAAAATACAGAACATATTGCAACTATATTATCAAATTTTTTCAAAATAAAGTAAAACTAAATTTAAAACAAATAATTTGAAAAAGAAAGTGATTTTTTTTAATTATTTATTTGAAATTTATTTATACCTTTTTTTGAAAATTTTGGGAATATAGTTGCAATTTGTTCTTTATTTTTTTCTTTATTTTGTTCTACTTAAATAGGTAATTATATTCGTCATTTTACAGCTTTTAATTGAAAAAATGAATGGAAATGATGATTTTTGCATTGAAACGTAAAAATAAGGGTGAAAATTATAAAAAAAGAAAAAAAGAAAATGAATTAACGTTTTGCACAATAATATTGAAACGTATAGATATTTTGTGCTAATTACCCTTTTAATAATTTATTTGAACTCAATTGTAATTTTTTAAAAGTTTGAGAGTATAATTGCAATTCATTCTTTAATTTTTATTTTATTTTGTTATTTTATTTAAATAGGATGATATATTTGTCATTTTATATTTTTTATTGAGAAATTGAATGAAAATGACATTTTCCGCAATGAAATGTGAAAATGCTAAAAAATGAAAAGTAAAGATGTTTTGCACAATATCATTAAAAGGTAAATATGTTTTGTGCTAAGTACCTTACGAAAATCATCATTTTCATCCATTTTTTTAATTAAAAATTGTAAAATAACGAATATACCTCTTATTTAAATAAAACAAAAATAAAGAATAAAGAATAACTTGTAACTATACTCCCAAAATTTTGAAGAAGTACAAATAAATTTCAAATAAATAAATAAATAAAATATTGTTAAAACTAATTGATTGGATTTAAACTTTGATCAACTTTTAATTTATGCCAAAATAAGGGAGCCTTTTTTTCTTTTTCTTTTTCTTTTTCTTTTTCGTTTTTAATTCTCTTAAAATTTAAATGACTACTAAGGTGTGTTTAAGCCCCATTTTTTGCAAGAAGTTTTATAATAGTGATGTTTTGAAGAATATATGATTAAAAAGTAGAAAAATGTTTCATTTTACATGTAAAATTATTTTATTAAAAATAAATTTTTAAAAAATAAATTTTTTAATAAAATGGAGGCCGAACAGGGACTTGATAGAATGGAAGCTCCATTATTGAACCTTAAACAGCAATTCTTGTTTATCAGATGCAAATGAGAATTAGAATTTGTGAATAATAAGTATAAATTCAAGATTAATAGTAATCACGTTGTGAATTAAGTAACTCGGCAAACATTAGTAATGAATATTGAAAGTGGTTATAACAGGAAATGAGAACATTCTGAGAGTTTTTATCTCCATTGCCTAAAGTTAAGAGAGTCTCTCTCCCCTTTACAATGGCGACATTCATCAAAACATAACCAAAAGCACATAGAAGCAGAGTCATAGGTATCACATTGCCGTCTCACATTTCATCACCCCCAGGGGACCTAGACCCAACATCAAGTGTGGACAGAAATACCTCCAGTTCAGCAGGATCAATGGTCGGATGGCTCTGCCTGAGCCAAGCCTTGACATGGTCAAGTGCCAAGAGATATGATTTTGACCCATACATGGCCAAGGTTTCCTTAAATTCATTTGTCTTCTTGTAAATTGATACAGCATCAGACAGAGAAACGTCATGTGAAGCCACCTTTCGCTCCAACTCCGTCAAAGCCTTTTTCATATCATGCAACTCGTAGTCTTTATTTTGTATTTCCACCGATGTCTTCGCCCTCTCCACCATTAATCGCTCAACTTGGACACCCTTTTCGAGGAACTCCTCCTCCGCCTTTCTGGCTCTTTTCTCAGCATCCTTTGCCCGCTCGTATAGTGATACCCCGAAGGTCGCCACCTGTGATTATGATAGGATAAGCACTTGAGATGTCAAAACGACAAAGTAGGCTAGGAGGGAACTTACCCGAGATATCTCCATCAAGAGTCCTTGACGACTCTCTTCCAGGGACTTCTGTTCTAAGCTCTTCTTTAACTCAATATCAACACAACCAACAACTGATGGTTGGGGTGAAGTTGATGGATTTTGAGGCGAAGGCACATCCGGTGAGCTAATTGCAGCCCTCTTTCTCCCTGAAGGAGAGGAAGCACCAGGTGCCGTAAACTTTTCTCTAGCCATCTTGAAAACATACGAGGCATCAAAATCCATGCCTGCACAATGGATTAAGTCAAAAGCCTCACGACATAAATAAGAAAATAAAATAATATAGGTATCGAGATCTACCCTCAGCACAATCATGATGCCCGAGCCCGACAGACATGAGCATATCACCAGTTAACACCTGAGACATCTTTTCCCCAAGTGGTTCAAGCCTTACGAGCTTATCAAGCTCTTGTTTTAAAGAAGCAGCACATGTTACAGACCGGTTGAATTTGGACACGTCGGGGTAACCCCATTTGTTGGGGAATGAGAACTCACCTACCTTAGGACAGATGTAAAAAAACCTTCTTTTCCACCTCTTATTTGAGCTCGGACATATGGGAACTTTGAAGTTTTGTTTACATGTTAAATATACAAAATGCTTTAATCCAGCTAGATATCTCATATCAAAGACTAGCCTACATAACTTAACAGAGGGTGAAATATCATTCTTCAGGCAAACCAGTAAAAAGTACACCAACATTCGCCACCCATTAGGAACTATCTGGCCAGGGGTAAGATTGTGTTTGACCAGGAGAGATTTCAGGAAGGGATGGAGAGGAAACCTTAGTCCCCCATCTAAATCACCTTTAAACACAGTTATCTCTCCTAAAAAACATTTTGATG